AAGGAACTCACACACACACACACACACACACACACACATAAACATATTCATATTAGGAAAAACCCACACAACACAAGGAAACCAAAATACTCCATAAAACAACAAGAAGAAAAAGGAACCACCTTTATTCATTTACAACATAACACTGAAAAAATAGAACATACAAACACATATATGAAAAAACCCAACACCATACCGCAAAAACGAAATGCTCAATAAAACAAGAAGAAGAAAAAGGCACCACCTTTAACAATGAATGAAGAAATAACAAAGTTCCCATATTTTCTTAACCAAAACCCAAAATGGGAACATTAATAATTTCCCAAAAAACTTCAACAAGTATGTGGGCAAATAATCGAACAAAACCCCAAGAATTTAAAACCACCAGAGACTCATTTGAATCATATTGCATTTATCACAAATCCCACAATAAATCAGGTCATAGCTTGAAAAACCCATGAAAATTTAATCGAAGCTTATGCGTAGGTTGTACGAATTTACATCCATTTATATGAGCATGGTATTTAGAGAAATTGCAAGAACATACCAGATTATAAATGGGGATAAACAGAGCTGGAATTAAACTAAATGTGTGGAAGACGAACGAATTTCTAATTTGTAATTCCTTGTTTTATAGAGATATTGATGAAATCCAAGGCGAGGGAGGAAGAAGAATGGTGGCATATGCTGGGCTTAAATAGACGAGCCGCTTGGCCATCGCCATTTTTTATTTTTATTTTTTTCCTTTTTCTCTTAAAAGCACTGTTTTTCAACCCGGACCGGCCCGGCGGGTCGACCGGGTCCCCGGTCGACCCGGAGCTGGAACCGGTCCGGATGGGCTATTCGGACCGGGAAACAACGGACCCGGTCAAACCCGGTCAAAACCCGGTCAACCCGGCATTGACCCGGTCGACCCGGGGCATTGACCCGGCTGGGTCAACCCGGTTGACCCGGTCCTATATATTTTTTTTATTATATTTTTTATTTTTTAATATATTTTTTGTTTTTAAAAAATAAAACTATTTATATATATTTATATGGTCAATATTTATCATGAAATACATATTATTAGCACTTTAATGTGCAAATTTTATATACAAAATATTTAATTTTGTTATTTTTATGTATATTTATAAGACAAAATACTCTATATATAATTTAAAAAAATTTAAAATTAATTATCCGGTTCAGCAATTGACCCGGTGACCCGGCGGTTGAACCGGTGACCCGGTGACTCGGAGACCTGCCCGGGTCGATTCCCGGGCCGGGTTTAAAAACTATGCTTAAAAGGAAATCAACGTAAATCTATATATATATAAAAAGGTTGTTGTTAAAATACCTTTTTAGAAACTTTTGACTAAAAAAAAACTTTGACAATCTAAATATAGAAACCATATTTACTGCATTTATAATACACGAAATTTTAAAAAGTCATACGTCAATTCAAAAATTTGTTTATTAGAGATATTATTGGGATTGTGGATAAGTCACAATTGGATCCATAATTATCATGATTAATTCAAAAATTAATTGGTTAGAGATATTATAGGGATATGTGGATAAGTCACAATTGGATCCATAATTATCATTACATAATTATGCGAATATTGAGTTAAAAAACGGTTGTTTGGTATAAAATCATATGCACTACCACTACTCAACAATTCACGTCATTCGCAGTTTAGAAAAAAAAAAACAGCAGAGAAAAAAAAAACCGAGATAAATTGTACAGAGAAAAAAAAAAGAGATAAATTTCATAACACATTGATAATAAATGCCGCCAGTTTGGAATACACTCGATTCCGTGAGTATAAGAAACAAGCCTTTTTTGAACTTGAAAGCAGTCCTAATAGTTGAAACGCATCACCAACGGGAGAGCTAGAACGCATTCCATATATTGTTTCATGATGAACAGGTAAATATTTTTATTCGTAATATCAAATTTATGTAATTTTAAAAAATATTTTAATTCATATTTATAAATTTATATTGTAGGGTACATTCATTAAAGGGATAATACGTTCCAAACATATGAGAGCATTTCGACGTGTACTGAACGAAGGCGAGGTGTATGCGATCAACAACTATGTCGTTGAATTTAATCATAGGAAGAAGGATATCATAACCAACATATAGAAACTTGCGCTTCATGGAAGAACTCATGTTATCAAATATGGTGGGATTTTCCCTCAAAATGTTGATATTTTCCCTCAACATTAGCAAAGAGCATGAGATATTTATGATATTTAGAGTTTGATTATTATGAATTTTAATTGCATTCCATGTCGTTGAATTCCGAATTCTATAATAAATTTTAATGTTATTATATTTGTTATCCTTATAAAATGTCGTTGGATATTTTTTTTTTATTAAATGTCGCATGAATGTGAAAATTTCCCGTGTCATTTTATTTTTGACTTCTAATGTATATTAGTTTAAAATTGGTAGAATGTCATGATATAAGATATAAATTAATACAAATTTTAACAAATATTTCAAATATAAGATTATATAAAAAAAAATTTACGAAATTAACAATAACTGAATTAAGTACATTTAATAGATTATATTGCCTGATTTTTCAATACTTTATCATAATGGATTATATTCATAAATATGAATATGAATTTTGATTATAATATTTATATTAATTTGTGTTATATATAAATTATTATTATTAAAATTTGACGTAAAAAAATGGAAATATTTGTTTGACGTAAAATTTTGATGTAAACAATTTTTGACGTAAAAGATTATAATATTTGTTTGACGTAAAATTTTCACGTAAAAAATTTTTCAACAATTTTTTTTTGTATCACATTAGTATGCACCGAAATTTAATGGAAAGATGGTAATTATGTAATGATGCTATCACACAAAAATCTTCACTTCTTAACTACTTTGCACTTATCTTATCATCATACATGATAAGGTTGAAAATTAATATACAGTATTTAAATTTGGTTTAGGTTTTTATTGACCGAGTATCACTCTTTGAATTCCATTTGAATTCAAAATTGTTGTATTTATTTAATTAAACAAAAAAATTTACGGAATTAACAATAACTAAATCAAGTACATTTAATGGATTATATTGCGTGATTTTTCAATAATTTATCATAATGGATTATATCCATAAATTTGAATTTTCATTATAACATTTATTTTAATTTGTGTTATATATATATTATTATTATTAAAATCTTGACGTAAAAAGATGAAAAGATTTGTTTGAACTAAAATTTTGACGTACAAAATTTTTGACGTAAAAGATTATATTATTTGTTTGACGTAAAAAAATTTTCAAGAATTTTTTTTGTATCACGTTGGTATGGACCGAATTTTAATGGAAAGATTGATGGTGATGGTAATTATGTAATGATGTTATCACATAAAAATCTCCACTTCTTAAATACTTTCCCACTTATCTTATCATCATAAAAATTTCGGTCCATACCAACGTGATAATCATTTGTGTTTGGATTGACCGAAATATATTCCATTTGAATTCAATGTCATTCATTTAAAAAACATAACAAATAGCGAGTCCTACGGTGGATAAATCACGAGAGTTAACAATCTAATAAATCATGTTTTACTAATCTTATCATGATATTAGAGTTTGAATTTATTGGAACTCTGAAATTAAAATCACGTGCAAAGAATCTTATCAAGAGAGATTAACGTGAGTCCAACTAATCTTATCATCTAATGGTTATCTACTTTCATCCCATGGCTATAAAATAAACGTCGGAGCCTATATCACGTATCAGAAAAATCTCACACTACAATTTTACATACAAACAGAAAAATGGCGAGAGCATGGGGAAACATCAAGCAAGTAACAAGGACCAACGGGCCAATGCTCAAGTTGAGTGTGGTTCGAGTTTTCCAAAGGACTAATCAATACTCATCCTACAAGAACATCCTTGAAATTGTCTTTCATGACATTGAGGTTTAATTCATAATAAAAAATAATGGTTATCCATTTTTCTCATCATGTTAATTATAATATCTAATATTTAATATTATTTTTCTTTTTTTTTTTCAGGGAGGTCGAATTACTGGAATAGTAAAAGCAATCAATATCCCAACTTTCATCAATGAATTCGAAGAAGGTGTTGTCTATGCATTTCGAAACTATCAAGTCGAGAGTAATATCGGAATGTATAGATCCACCATTGCACAATACAGGCTTATACTACGTGGTAGAACCGAACACATAAGCAACAAGGATGACTTTCCAATTTTTCGTTTTGACTTTCGAAGGTTCAACACATTGATTGATATCGAGAAAATCGACGAATCAATGCTATTTGGTAACTGCATTTTCACTTATTTAATTTTTTGTATAAGCCTGATTTTTTAATAGTATCAAGTGTTCCGGAATACTGAACCATGAGTTGTATTTGAAGATTGGAACTCCAATCATGTTGTTGCGGAACATGGATCATTATATGGGTTTGTGTAATGGGACACGATTGGTAGTGACAAAGCTACCGACTCACGTTCTTGAGTGTAAGATACTCACAGGAGATCATGCTGGTGATAAGGTGTTGATTCCAAGAATGACATAAACTCCTTCTGATGTTAGAATTCCTTTCAAGTTCTAGCGGCGATAGTTTCCCGTTATGGTTTCTTACACCATGACTATAAACAAGAGCCAGAGACAATCCTTATCTCATGTTGGCTTATTTCTTAAGAACCAGTGTTCAGTCATGGCCAGTTATATGTTGTTGTTTCCCGTGTCACTAACCGAAAAGGTTTGAAAACCTTAATTTGTGGCGAAGATGACGTGCCAAAATCAAACCAATAATGTTGTATATAGAGAAGTGTTCAATAATATATGACTTTCAATTTAATGATATGTTTATATGTCTATTATTATGATCATGATCATTGCCTGCATAACACAATTTATATACAAAATTGTTTTTTAAAAACATTATAGATAATAATATCCCCGTGCATCGCACGGGTGACTACTAGTAATCTGGAATATGAAACTTGTTTGTCTTTATATAAATAATTGAATAAAAAATATGTATAATATATGTGTTGGATTCTAATTGAATAAAAGAGTTTATTTTATCACTTGTGAGTATTTCTGGTATTAAATAGATCTAATTGAATAAAATAATATGATTCTTTTTCAGAAAAATGAATAGTTTCTCAATAAAATGTCACGTTTCAAGAAAACAACACACAATGATAACAATTAAATTTTAAAAATTGAAATATTCCACTATAATAAGATTTTATGTTCTAAAGTAAGACGTCAAAACGTAAATGTGAGAATAAAGCGGGCAAATTTTCTCACAAATATAATATTTGTATTAAGAAAATACAATATTTTAAAAGTCAACGTCAATAAAAATATAAAATATGACAGAATATATATATGTTTATATTTACCTAGTATATATGACGAATCGACCCACCTAATTATTAAAATTGTCTCTCGTAATAATGTATGAAAATAAAATGACATACTATAAAAAAAAAAAATCTAGATATGTGAATGCTTACCACTTCTATTTTGTGTGTTTGTTTTTATTTTTATTTATTTATTTATTTGGGCAGCCAGCCTTAGCATAATCCATTTAGAAATCTACTTTTTAAAAATTGGTTTCATAATTTTTTAAAATAGATTATAAATTTGGAATTTAAAAGGATCCCTATTTTGAGGGGAGTTATTCCAAAAGTTTCTTATCCA